TGACTCATCTGTTTGTATAAGTCTGCTACAAGGGCAGTGCGCATATGATTTTAATATGAATTATGCTTGCTAAAGCGTTTGCCCTGAACTCGATTAAATTGCGTGATCTAACATGTAAGCGGCCCTAACACGTAGTCATTAAGCCAACAGGTTAATAGCCACTCACAGACGCTATAGGCCTAGCTACACACCTTTCTTGCGTAAGAAAACTGGTTACACACTTGACATCCTTTTCCTTTGTCTTTCCTCTCTCCCTCTCTTTCTCTCTTCCTTTTTTGAGAAACCAGATTTTGATTACCTAGGCAACATTGTGATCACTGGCAGTTCTGGCCGCCATCTACGAGCTGCCAACTAAGACACGGTCACTGATTAAGTGCGCACTAAGGGCAGGACCCAAAACCATTTCATCGGCAGCATTACAGGGGGGCTGGTCCGGTCAATTTTCTGAATGGATCTTTACTTTTGGTCAGATGGGATATTTCAACTTTTAGCTGCCCCAAAAAGCAAGTTAAAAACAAAGAGATCATTAATTTTATTATTAATATTGAAATTATACCTATACTGAATGATGATGGTTTAATAAATTGTTATATTAGTTTTTAACCTATTTTTTGGGGCGGCCTGCAGTCATGGGGCGCGCTTGGAATCTGTCCTAACTTTTCCCCCTTAATACGGCCCTGCTGTGTGTGTGGTGTGTGTGTGGTGTGTGTGTGTGTGTGTGGTGTGCTGTGTGTGTGTGTGTGTGTGTGTGTCTGCTTCTACCGTGATACACAGTCCCAGGCTTTGTTGGGCAGGGCCATTTTCTTGACACTTTTTACAAAGATGGTGTCCGGATCTGGCCTCCAAAACGACGAGGCCGCTGGCCACCTGCATTTAAACACATACACATACAGTACAGACTTATAACACATTTCGCACGTGGAAATAATACCCCCCCCCCCACCTCCTGAGCATATATGTATTATGAAACAGAAGACAATAGATCCTAGAGACACTTACAAGAAGCCGTGATACTGATTCATCAGACACTCACCTTTTCCAGTAGCGTTTCCGTTCTCTTCATCCTGTGGGAGAAACACAGAGCAGATGTTAGAGGAGAGGGGGACCACAGGGGGGCACTGCTCAGCTCACATTTAACCCCTGCTGACCGGGTAGTTTGGGCTGTTTCTCAGTGACTGTCTCACTGACTGACATACTGACTCCCTGTTGGTTTGACTGCCTGTCTCACTGTCTGTCTGTCTGATTGGCAGGGCTGCTGGCTGGGTCTATCTGGAGGCTTTGATGCTTCGCTGAGTTAGCTCATTCCTGACCTGGACACACAAAGGGCTCTAAACACAGACTAAGGTCTGCTGCTACACAACACCAACCTCTCTCCAGGCAGAAGAATGTTAGCATACTGTCTACATTACTACAGAAGTGTGTGTAGATGTTATTACCTTGAGTCAGAGTCAGAATGATGCATGAATTTGTGTATAAAAAACGCTCCAACTGCTGAAAAGCAGTGTTAAACTGAGGGCTCTGATGTTGGATGTGATAGGCACTGTGATAAAAAACAAATTCAGATTCCACTGTTCAGGTTGCATGAAAATGTTAACTTTTTTATTAACTTAGATTTTATGCATTTGGTGGTGCGTTCTTTATACTCTTATATGAGGCTGATGGGAATGTCAAGTCTTGTTACTAGCGTGGCTAAAAACACAGTATTAAGTCCAGTAACATCAAAGCTAAATTCACACTGGAGCTGAGCCTAGTGAAGACTTTTAGATTTTCAGAATCTGAAAGATTTTCTAAATTTTTAAATCAGTGACAATATCAGTTTGACCAGTTTGTGAAATAATAGGAAAAAAATTTGTGTCCAGACCAAAGTCCGACATCAGAGAGCAGTCCGCTCACCTTGAGGCTGTGGACCGAGGACTCTGGTGGGTAAACGATGAAGTGGCGCAAAGTGAAGCCGAATCCTTGTGAGTTCTTCTGGAGGAAAATGGTCCGTGGGCCCTGCCACGACACGCCCTCCACCTCACCCGACGACAGCGGTCGGCGTCTGTTCTCATTGGACGACACCATGCCATCTCTCCGCCCTTTAGCCTATTGAAAAGAGAAGATAGAGAAAATGTTTAGATCAATAAGCTTTCCTTTTCCTCTTGGTAGGAAATGAACACTAAACTTTACCATGGGAGTCTTAAAGTACATCGCAAGTATCATCTTCACGGGTCTCCATTGAACTTGTTTGTGTGACTGTGTATTCATCTATCATTGAATACATATAAGGGAAGTGAGTGGGTGGATGTGGGCGTATGTGGTCCATTCACTGAGTACTCTGCCCAGATCTGACCAGGGTCAAATTCCACCAATGCCAGGAATTCTTCAGAAACTTCCTCTCTCTAAAGAGGAAGCTCTATTTTCACCGACAACCTCACCTATAATCACCTTTATTACCTCCAGGCAACAATAGCAGGTTTAAAAATATATACAGCCTATAAATACCAACCATGGAACAACAGGAAATTATTAGGGCTCATAAACACAGATCTGGAAAATCAGATGAACAATAGACAAAGGCAGCTTTACAAAGAGTGTGACTAAAAACATCCACTGATATTTCTATAGGCAGCAGGAGGTGAGAGTTAAGAGAGCTCAGACACACAGTGGGCTCTCCAGCACTAATCCAGGGGCTAATCCTATCATAACAACACTAACCTTGATCATAAGTTTGGCGCAATTAAACAAATAATGAATAATTAATATTTGTTAATGTCAACAATACAAAAAGCTTCAAAACATAAGGAGGAGGATGTAGTCAGCTGATGTATGAATCACTGATGGTGCATGAATGAAACAGCTGATAACTCATCAGCTGATGCCACTGCAGTGCTCTGCCTGAACTAAAGCCCCTAATTAAGCAGAAGGACAGGACTTTTTTGGTTAAATACTTATTCTAAAATTGGTTAGTTAGTTTTAATGACAATTTACAATATAAAGTGTTTCAAAGGCACAAAACACTGAATATAACCCAAACGTTAAAGCTGCAGTAGGTAACTTTTATGAAAATAACTCATATTTGCTAAAATGTTCACTATATCCCGAGAGTAAGATAAGATAAGATATTCCTTACTTAATCCCCCTTAGGAGAAGAAGAAGTAGTTATATATATATATA